CATATGTACAACAGGTAAATCTATTTTAATGCCCATCAATTAATAAATGGATAAAAGTTATACATAATAAAATACTACTTCGTCATGAAGAAGGATGTTTGTGTCATTTAGGAATTTGGATGCACTTTGAGACCATAATATTAAGTGAAATAAGTCAGACACATGAAATTAAGTATTGTATAGTTTTTCCTCATACATAAATAAAGGAGTAAAACAAAAGATGGAGAATAGGAAACAGGAAGATAGATCTTCTGTAAAAGGGAAGGGAACAAAGAGATGGAGGGAAGTACAGAAGGGGATGAGAAGTCAATTAGGGTTTGTTATGTATATATACCAGCTCTCAATAGTGAATGCAATCATTGCATACAGCAAAAATGTACTAAAATAAACATTAACAAAAGACAATATCACCTCCAGTTTAAGATGGCATTTTTAAAAATCAGAAACTCAATAAAACCTGTGTCTGAAAGAGGATGACTGCAAAGTGGTGAACACAGAATGTTTCATCCATAAGAAACAAGACTTATTTACATACCTAATTAAAGCTTCTTGTTAACCACAAAAACTGAGAAGCCAAAAGAAATAGAGAGGGGGGGCATTCTAACAATTAGATTAATAAAAAAACACAAAATATAAAGGTTCACCTAACATCAGAAGTAAAGACTAGATAATTATGGGAAAACTTCCTGAGGAATGTGTTGAATGTGGGACATCCTGAACTGTATAGTGGGAGCCTCCTGCTTGCAGAGGATGCATTTCCATGCCTTCTGAGTACCCTGCCTCCTACTAACTTTCTAGTAGCTCTCTGGTTCTTTTCTGCTAAGCTTCTAAATGCTAGCCTGTGTCTTCTCTCAAAAGCTAGCTTTAAAATGTAATCTTTCTGACACAATGTTGACCTCGTGAGTTTGTCTGCAATTTGTAGTATCTTATGTGTATTTGTGTGACTCAATTTCAAATAACCTATTACATAACAAAGCAGTAATGCAACAATAGGAAGGAAACAAAAGATAAGAAAGTTACTGAGGTTTTCCTGTGTACTCTAGAATTCATGGATGGAAACTTGATCCTCAATAAGGCAACGTTGAGCGTGGGAGTTTAGGGAGCAGATTGGTCTTAAGATCTCTGCACTCAGACATAGAGCAACCCATTTTTGAATTAATGAGTTATTATAGAATGACTTTGCTAGGAATGAATGTATACTCTTTGGCTTGCTTGCTGTTTAACCATATGATAGCCTCACCATCTCCCAAGCACATGACAAAGCCATACCCTTAAAATTCCCAGACTCCAGAACAAAGCTAAATATGCTTCTATGGTGTATAAGTTATCCAGTCTCTGTGATCTTGTTATAGCAGCAGAAGGGTAGAGAAGACAGTGATGTTGTTAATGTAGCTGGAGACCATAAAATGGTGGTGTTGAGAGAAGACAAAGATAATTAAAAGCATAAAGAAGAGAAGGAGATCAACTGTGATTGTAGAGCATACATAAAGCCCACGAGTGAAAAGAATTTGAACTGAATTTGATAGATGCACTCTCTGGTTTTTATAAACCTAGCCTGACTTATAAAAACTCTCCTTCCTACCAGTTTCATAAAGTCAGCGTGGCGTGTTCCCAGGCTGCAGTGGCTCTCATGCCATCTTGACACTAAATTGAGTTTAAATTGACACTGAGCACTTTTTTTCCTGGGGAAAAGGAATATATTGGTCAAAGTGCACACAGGTTCAGTTAAGCTTCACGTGAATAAATTCTGGAGATTTATTGTATTGTATTGTAGTGGTGACTGTAGTTAATCATAATGTATTGTATAGGTCGAAATTCTAAGGAAGTAGATTTTAAATATGTTCCATCCTTCATAACTATTAAAATGTGAGGCAATATATCGTTTTGTTTTAATACTTTCACGGATCATGGATATATATATATCCAGATATCATCATGCACATGGTAAAACTATGTAGTTTTTATTTGTCAAACATACCTTAATAAATAAAGCCAGGGGAAAGTAAAATTTTTGACTCCAAAAAAGTCTTTAAAAAGAAAAAAAAATATTTGCAATGCCTCAGTTATCCAAACTAGGAAACTCTGTTTTAGAAATTCTTTTTCATTTATGTTTTAAAAAATTTTTAAATTTCATCACTTTTTATTAAACTATCGGGGGAAAGGAGTGAAATAAAATGATGAATAAAGTACATCTTGTTCAATAAAGGACAGTCCTCAAAATTTAACACTGTTTTGAGGGTCAGAGGGTTCCATCTAAGGAAAACTTGTTTAGAAAACAAAATCTTGCATTCTGATGCTCGTTTTTTTTTACTGTAAAGAGAAAAAAAAAAACCAATAAAACAATGACACAGAATTTCAAAACAAGATAATAGGAAATTAATAGTGGTTAGTATATTGCATATTGTTATCTTCAAAGTAGTTGCCCAGATGACAAGAAATAGGTGTGCAGAGTGGATCAAACACTTTCCTCTTGTCCCTCTTTTCTCCTGTCGCCATCCAGTGATTCTTTCCTTTTGAGCAGCTCCTTCCCTTTCACAGTATCTATTGTAGGTATTGAATCTCAATTCTTTTTTTAGTTTCTTACACTAGGGAGACAATATGATGTTTGATAAAGTCAATTAGTGTATAAATTTTTAAAGCAGCTACCATGTCAGATCATGTTTCGTATATTAACTAACTAAATACATTTTAAAATATCCAGTTTAGTATGCATCTCCTTGATAAATGAGTCCCTCTGCATCTCACCTGAAGTCATCTTGGGGGCGTTTATGGCAATGGATGCCTCACTGCTAAACCCTGAAGGCGACTTTAACCTGTGATCCAATTTAGAATAGAGCCAGACTTCCTCAGAATCATTCCTCTTTCTACTAGACCATAATAGTAAATTTCAGGAATGCAGGTCTTTCTTACATAATATGCAAGAAACAGCTTGGAAGTTTCCTGCAAAGGATGATGACACCCCAGACTGGCTGCGTTAAGGTTAGCATGACCATGGAGGCCTCACTAGGTAGGTGATTTTTCCAATATGGTCACACTGAGTGCTCTTTTCAGCCTCCTTTCCACCCCCCTTCTCAGGAGGGTTTGCAGCACTTTTCAATTGAAAGTAAAAGCAGTTATTTAATGCTTTTAGCTTTTCTTTTGGTCCTTTTTTCCAAATATTTATTTTTGTAACTATGGAGGAGGAGATAATCATCCAGCTGGGAGCTCCCACAGAGCTCAGCACAGTACACTGAGTCCACACTTCCACTCCCATCCTCAGCTTGCTTGCTGTCAGTGCAGTAGAGAGAAACACATGCACACACACACACACATACCAGCCCAAGATGAATTTCCTAACCTCTGCAACCCATGGATCTGTTATGCTACACACCGATTCCAAAACAAGGGAAGTGAGGGATATAGATGGAGTTAAAATTACTAAACCATTGACTTTTAGATGGGGAGGTTAACCTGGATAGGCCCAAATGAATCGTAAAATAGAATGGAACAGGAGGCTGAGGAGAAGGTGAGAGTGGTTCCATCTGAGGACTCACTGCACTGGCTTTGGCTTTGAAAATGACACCTAGAAGCCCACAAACGCAGAGAGTCTCTAGAAGCTGGGAAAGGCAAAGAGATGAAGCGTCCCAGAGAGTAAGGAAGGTCATTCTGCCAAAAGTTTGATTTTAGCCCAGTAAGAGCCATTTTGGACTTTTAGTCTCTAATAAATTTATGTTGGTTTAAGTCATTTAATTGGGTTTTTTCCCAGTATCAATAGGAAACGAACAAAACAAAACGAGCTTCAAAATTTATCTACTTTTTTTTTAAATTAAAGGTTTGGCATAGTCACTTTTTTAAAAAAGGCAACTGTACTGAGTGTGGTGAATTTACAACCCCACTCTCTCAGGAACACAACTAATTCCTAAATTTGTATATCACTCTTGCTCTAAAAGGTTAGTGACGTTAACGGCTGTATCATTTTTTAATAAAATTAAGAATTTTACTGTTCTGCAGTTAGTGAGGACTTTTAGAAAGCCAATGTGATAGGCAAAGTGGTTTTAAAACATAATACAACCAAGGCTCTAGATTTAAATTAGGTTTCTGCCATTTACTAGTTGAGGTAGTTTAGAAAAATTAACTTTTAAGGCTGTGTTTCATCCTCTGTAAAGTGGGAACTTAAAAAACGGGCTCTCCAGAATAGGTTTGTGAAAAAGAGTTAACGAGATGGTTTATGGACAGCTCTGAGCATGGCGTCTCCTGCCTCATAAATACACGCAGGGCATAGTGGTGTTGCCTGTTACTATTACCGTTGCATTATCTTCCCGATTTCAAAACTTCTCTTTAAAAAAGTAGAGCTTTCCAAATCTCTGCTGAGCTGACAATCTGCACGTTTAAGAGCTTATCTTGTTTCCTTCCATTGCTAAAGACACAACAGTAAATCATGAAAATAGCAAGTCCCTCAGCAATACATATCCCAGGGAGTCAATAATCCCTTTAGCATTATTCATTCACTAAAGTCATTGTATAAGAAAAAAATTAAAAATAAAAGTGCGTGAGACAATGCACTAACTAGGGATCCTAATTAAACTTTCTTTTTTCCTTTTTCTCCAAAGGCCGCACTGGGCAAAGTGGACTCGAGCCAAGGGAATTCCCCTCTCTCTCCCGCACTGCTTCAGAGCAGAAGGAAGAGCCCCGTCCGCTCCGCGCCGGGGTTGTCGCCTGTCCTTGGGCGGTGCCAGGTGCGCCCCGGCGAGGCCCGCGCGCGGCACGAGCGGCTGCAGGTTGCTGAGCTTCGCCCGGGGCCGCCCTGCACCCTCGCGGTTTCTCCCGGTTGCGCACCCGGAGTCCCGAGCGGGGGACGCGCTGGGCTGGACCCGCCCCACTCGGGGAGCGCTCCCTGCCCCCCGGCCGCGCGCCCCGGTCTCCAGCCTGGCCCCCGGGCGCGTCTGGCCTCCCCGAGCTCGGGAAGGGAAGGAGGCGTGTCTGCAGCGGGCGGGAGGGAGCCGTATAAAAGAGCCGGCGGCGCGGCGGCCCCAGCTTCACTCGCCACCTCGCGCTGGGACCGGAGCGCCGCTGCAGGCACGGGCCGTGGAGAGGGCGCTGCGCTCGGGCTGCCCAATGCTTGGACTATCTGCCGCCGCTGCCCGTGCAATATGCTGGAGCTCCAGAACAGCTAAACGGAGTTGCCACACCGCTGCCTGGGCTGGATCGCAGGGCTGCCTTTCCTTATGAAGAAGACACAAGTGAGTAGGGCACGCCCGGGAGCTCCGAGGCTTTCAAAGAAAACCGCGCCCGAAGCCCCGGGAGGCCGGCGTGCCCCGGGACCGGCAGCCGGGACATGTGGGGCTGCGCCCTCCGGGTGAGCCAAGAGGGTGCGGGGGAGGCAGGCGTGGGTTGCAGCCCGAGCGCGCAGCCGGCTGAGCCCGGGAGGGAGCAGTGGGAGTCCGGAGAGGGAGCTGGTGTCAAGTTTGCAGCGGCCGCGGTTAAGTTTGCAGCTGTCAGTCGGAAGCCTCATTTCCCATCCGAGAAAAGGGTGGGCTCTGTGGCCTGGGGCTTTGCGCTAGCCCAGGAAGGCTCCTCTTTGCTTGGTAGACATTTTCTCCTGGATTCCCGGAGATTATGAAACAGCTCCCCACGCGCCACCCTCACTCGCTCTGGAACCCAGATTTGTGCAGTCACCTGGGGGACGCGGGACGCGGGTGCAGCCGCGGGAGCAAAGCCAACCCTGAGCTGCTGAGCTGCACAAGTCGGCGGGGCGGGGAACCTGGGTCAGCCCGGGAAACTTGGCGTCCTGCAGCTCTGAGCTGTCTAGTTTGCAGCCCTGGGTGGGCCCTCACTGCAGCTGCGGATGGAGTAACACCTCCTCAGTGCGTGCACCTTCTTCTGTTCCAAAAAAAGTTTTATTTATTTTCTTAAAAAATTTTTAATGGGCACCTCCAATGATAGTTGAGAGAATACCCAAGGGTGCTTTATACGTCAAGGACCATGGCGAAAGCGCTGCCTAGGGGTACAATTAGACACCTCCTACCCCGACAAATATCTGGCTCGCCCTTTGGAAACGGCTGCTACCGGACAGTTCTTTTCATCTCTGGCGGGCGGTTCTTACCTCTTTCCACTTTTTCCCGTCGCAATTGTTCTGCTATTTGCCTCGGGTTGCGTAAGGCTGCCCTTTCAACCCCCAGAGGTTCGGTCGGAGATTGCAATTCCTGAAATGTGTGGAAGGGGGTTGACGTGTTGGGGCGAAGGGGCAGTTGAATGTTTACAATGAAAGAATCCGTGCGCTGAAAGTGCTTTACTAGGTGACCTACTTAGCATCATATTTTAAATGAATGTCTAGGCTTGCACATTAAGAAGGCATAAGAAAGAGTAAAGTCCTTTCCACCCGATGTGAAAAGGGGGAGGGATAAGGGACCTTGCCTGGCATAAAAGGAGGGTAGTGCCTCGCCTGCTTTGGCAGGGAGTCTAAGTGTGGAAGAGAAGCAGCAGCTCGCCTGTCTCCTGTCTTGCAAGCAGGTTCGTTTTTTAGGCAAGGACACCACACCTGAGATCACCACATTGTGCTGGAGAAATGCAAATATGAACGATTCTTCCAACAAAGAAAAGTTTAATTGTATGGCTGGAAGTGCACAGGCTTTCTGATCTACGGCACAGTTAAACAAGGGTGGGAACCTATTTCTTTTTATAGTCGTCTCTGCTTGCATGAATGGTGCTGGTGAGATCTGGGTGGAGAAGCTGCCACCTTTTAGATCGGGGAAAGAGCCCAAAGCTTCCTATTTAAACAAGAGAAGAAGAGACAGATCGGGTTAATGTCCAACACTCCAAAGCCGGGATGTACTATCAAGTCACTTTGAGAGTCAGTAAGAGTGATGATCCCTGTACCTTTGCTTTGCAAAACAAATGCGAGCTCTGTAATCTCCTCTCTCGCTTTGATTAAATGCTGTGTAAATAGGATTACATGGAATAATTCCATTGAAAACCAGAAAGAGGTCAGCCTCGCCTGAAACACTGGCTGTGGGGTGACTGACTCGGTGCTGCCCACCAGAGACATTTGAGACAGCGAAGTATTTTAGAAATGTGACCTGTTCAGACCAAGTTAAGAGTGCGGGCCCTCTGGGGGGCCGTGCTGATGGTAGAGGGCTCCAGAGGGCAGTGCTCTTGTTGAATGAAGGCATTCATCGCTGGGGCTCTAATGACCTTCAAGGTTTTCTTTAAGGATACTCCTAGCAATTTCACATTCCCGGCACTGAAAAAGGAGACCTTGGAGATAGCACGAAATCAATTAAAATAACCCATGGTAATGAAGGGTGACTGTCAGATCTTCTCATTTAAAATTGGGGGAAATGTTTTTCTGTGCAGCTCTGCATAGAGAGTGTAGCACAAGGAAATCAAAGATCAAGAAGGAGGATTTCAGTCTAATGTTATCTTTGCCAGAGAGGAATAGCTATTAATATTTAATAGTTTAAATAGTTGCTTATAAAGATGGTTTTAAGACTAGAATTCCATTACAGGCCTATTGGTCCTGTACTATCTGATTACTCAGTACATAAACACAAACTTTAATGATAATATTTTAAAAAGAACTTTGATTTGAATTATACAGCTTTTCAACCATCTTGGGGACAGCAGGCATTTTTGCCTTTAAGTCAAGCTAAATAAGTGAAAATTCCATCAAAAAACACTTGGGGATTGGTGAATGATGCTTTCATTTACTTAGCACATGTGACAGACTTCAGTATTTGGGGAACAGTTACACAGGCAATAAGTCACAGGAGTCATTGTGACAATAAACTTGATCACAAGTCTGCAGGAATAAATGTATTAGATGTTTTTTCAGATTTCTCCTTATACTCTATTCAAATTATGAGATTTGACAGTTTCTAAAGGAGCATAGTGGATCTGACTTAGAAAGATCATCTCTCTTAAAATTATGCTATTTAAAAGAAAATAGTACTCTGGGGAACATTAAGTAGCTACTAGCATGCCATATTTTGCACCACCAGTGAAAATGTGCTCAAAAGTACTCACCTTAATATGCTTATGCATTTTATCCATGTTGCGCTTACATTTTAGTTTCTATATGGTTTTAGGTGTTGTCAAGATTGCTGATAGTTTCAGAAATGCCAAGACTTGAAAGTCTTGCAAACAGTGTATAAAAGACCATTTTAGGCACATTGAGGCACTCGGGGAATAAGCAAACAGACAACTAGCTTTCACTATGTCAGAGAAAATATCCCTTTTTTGTCTAGTTGAGGTTTGTTATGTAGGTGACAATGCAAATTTTCTTTATAGGGAAAAATTAACATATTTATAAAAAGAGCATTTTAAAATTTTGTCCCTTAGGATCACTCAATTTGGAATGTGTGCTTTCAGTAATTCTAATTTATGTAGCTTTTAATTGATACATTCTGCCAAGATTTTAAAACTCAAGTGCTAAGTCGATTACATTTAACATAAAACAGGGAAAATAACCATATGGAAATTTGAAAGTCTGTGCCAAACCAATTAAAATTGTTAAATTTTATTTATGTCTAACTGGTGATTTGAAGATAGCAAATTATGAGTCATTGTTGTTCTATAATGGTAGGTGATTGAACTCTTACCATCCTCTTATATAACATTAAAAAACAAACCCTGTCCGAGTATTAAGGCTCTGAGTTTTCGAGGTTTGTTGCATGGCTGGGAGTCCCATTGAACATGCCCTCTTTCCATAACTGAGAAGTTCCTAGAGTATAATTAGTGGAAGGATTCTAGGCTCTAGCTGCTGAAGACTTGTATTTCAATCCCTGTTTTACCAAGAGACAAATGAACTTAGGCAAATGGTTAACTTTTGGGATTTCTACTTTGAAATCTGTATGTTGATTGCAAAATAACTAAAAAGATTATTCTCAGTTGGCAGTGTAAAGGCGAAAACAAGGTTGTGTATATGCTTATCTCATAAGAGTGATTTTCTGTAGTTCCAATCCGAGTTTGTTGTTCCTAGAGAAGAGAATTGCCTGTCCGCTAACTTTTGCAAGCCAGAGAGGGATTTGCTAGTAATGAGGACAAATAAATGATGTTTACTGAGCAAAGCACACAAGTTTTCTTAAATCTGGATCCATCAATTCAGTTCCACTTATAATAGGGTGATATCTGATTATACAGTAATTAATTCATGTTAAACCAGGTATGGGAAGACAAAAGTGATCTGAGATCATGAGAAACTAGTTTAAAGTTTTTCTTCCAAAGTAAAAAATGAATAAGAAAAGTAGAATACATCATAGGAAGAGAAAATGGAAATCCTAATTTTGCACTCTTGTTTTCTGAGTTCTCCTTATGTGATTCTGAGGATGTCTTCTATTTCTTTTGTAAGACTAAAGAGACTTGGTCAGCTTCCTGTCCCTGGGTTTTTGCTCCAGCTCTGAGTGAGGCACAGGTTCATTTCTCCAGGATGTTTTGCTGTCTTTACCAGGCAACATGCAGTGACATTTTTTGTTTTTCATTATTCAAGTTTGGGATCTTCTTTCTTTTTTTTTCCTCACTTTCCTTAATGTCCCCTTTTGTAAATCAGGGCAAGGCATTGGACATAAATCTCTGAGAAGTGATCTTTTATCTGTCTTTTATAGTGCATGAATCATGAGCAGCTGCAGGAACTGTGTTTTTGGTCTCAGTCACCTGTGTAGCCAGAACAATTTATAAAACAAATTGAGAGGCAAGATGCTTTTATAATATACGCTGCTTTCAAGTTGCTTTGTATAGACTTTGTTTCATGGAAAGCATGGTCTGTAGCTTTACTGATTTATGGATGCAGTAAGATGTTTGTGCCTTTTAACTTAATTATGGACATACTAAAAACTATTTACAGGGACTGGGAGTTTAAGAGAATTATCATTATCCTCTCCCTACCTATTTCTGTCTCTCTAGAAACAGAGGTGAGGGGTGATTTTCTTATAATTAGGCCTCATGGTTCTTTTTATAAAATCACAATGTGTGTCATCTGAAGGAAGGGTGTTCTTTATGTAGCTCTCTTTGTCCTTTACTGTTTTTCTAGGCTTCCACAATGGCTTGGGCATTAGGAGACTGAGCTCTTTTATTAACCTGGATACTGAAGTTGTATGACTTTGGGAAATGATCTGACCCTTTGAGACTCTGTTTATTCAAATGAAGAGTGAGAAAGTAGGACTAGGTGAATTCTAAGTGCCTTCCAGTTCTAAAATTTTCTGTTTCTACAATACTAGTAAAATAGTGGTTTGAACCAGAGGGCACG